GAGAGAGAGAGAGGAGAGGATTTGAGAGTGTGGGAGGGAGGGCACTGTCCTTTTGTGTGTTGGCGGGGGGGGGGGGGGGGCGCCGGGGGCGGGGAGGAGAAGAATAAAGATGGGGGTGATTGGGTGAAGTTTGCAGACGGTTATTTGGTATAAAAATTTGAAGGCTGACCATAGGTAATTTAATTCAAGATCTAAAACCCTATTGTTTTCTTTCACTTTTTTTTGCTTTCGCTTTATACAACAGGATATGCATTGTTGAAATCAGTCATTTTTAAATCAGAGAAATTCTGAGTCTTCCCACTCTTCTGCATCTGGAGGGCTTAGTGACATTGTAATGATCTATATTAGTGGCCTCTAAGCTTTTGAAGGTAAAAAAGGGCTTGGTTCCCAGATGAAAGCCCAAAAAGTGACATATTGCTATGGTTCTAGGGTCTATACTCTTGTTTACATGGATAAGCTACTTGGTTCGGTAAGAGTAATTGTAGTAATTTTTGATCTATCTTTATACGCATGATCCATTTTTCCTGCGCATATTAGATTATAATTCTGTATTTTGTATTTTTCTTTGGATTATTTCCTAGTTCTCATTGAGAAGGCATTGTTTATCTGTTATTCGAGTGATAAAGAATTTTCTTTGCTCCCCTTTAAAATTTTCATTATTTTATGTTTCTTAGTTTTAAGTGGATTTCTGATTCCCAATGAATTACGTGTTTTATCAGGTTAATTTCGATGTAATATGAGCACAGAGTCACTCTCAGCTAAACCTTCTCAACAAGTTGTCACTCTGGGGAAAGCCCTCAAACTGGTAATTTCTTCTTCTTCTTCCTACAGGCAACTTCAGAGCTAACCGTAGAAAGAGAAAGTTCACAAGCATTAATGTATGTAAACTCCGAATTTTAGATATGAACTACAAAAATTCATTACTTACCAAAAGGAGAAAAACCCAAATTATTTTGGTAGTGATCTGTTGAGTATTATTGTGTACATGAGGCTAGATATTTATTCTAATATTGTATTTAAGTTCGAATCATCGTGCATTTAGAGTTGACCAATGAGTGGTGTAGAACAGTTTAATTGGAATCTCTATACCTTAAGGAAATGGGGATTGGAATTGATGCTTTGTACCTTGATTCATATACTGGTTTTGCAGGTCTCTTCAAGGTTTTAACTTTTTTTTGTTGAAAGATTAGTTGACTTTATGTGTGTGTGTGGACAAAATTAGAAACGGCCCCCCAAGTACAAAAAACAGGCTAGGGATTGCCTGTGAAACTTGTAACCTATAAGAAATAGAACAAAAAAACTGCGAGAGTGAGAAAAAAAGGAGATGGGGGGAGAGGAAAAGGGGAAGGTGTGAGAGAGATACAGGAATTCAGAAAAGGTGGAAGAGATGAACAAGAAAATCCTGGGGGAGATGTGTGATTCATGGGCCTTCTTGCAGCACCCTCCCTGGCCAGCCTATCTGCAATGCGGTTGGATGCTCTCAGTATGTGGCAAAGACAACCTTACTTCAAAGCATTTAAATATGGTCAAAAGACCGAGTTAGTCTCCATGGAGGTTGGAGGTTGAGTGGCCCTAGTGGCATCGTTGAGGTTTTAACTTTACATGATATAATGGTGGATAATGGTCAGCACAAACTAGATTACTTCTCAACCCTCAAAAAGATCTTTTGATTCCAACGGTCCAAGGTCAAATGGCTCCACTTTGGGGATCAGAACACGGGTTCTTCCATGGAATTGCGAACTGCCCCCGGGCCCCAGACCTAGGATGGCCGACCTTTACTTTCGCTTGGTCCTGGCTCATTGGTTGGGGCGCCCTTTTTCCGAAACCGAGATCTTGGCAGCCTTAGCCGACCTGGGTGAAGACAAAGCACCAGGCCTGGATGGATTCCTTGTGGCTCCCTTCAAAATTTTCTAGGAAACCTTCATACCCAAGTTTTTGGAATTCTTTGAAGAGTTCTTCCATCGGGGAATACTTCATCAAGCCATGAACACGATGTTCATTGCATTTGTTCCGAAAGTTGAAGGAGCTGAAGAACTGAAAGGCGACCGATCAATTTAGTTAAATTCCATCTACATGATTCTATCCAAAGTGCTCGCCATTAGACTCAAAGAAGTCCTTCCCTTAGGAATATCTTTCTCCCAGAGTGCCTTCATCAAAGAAAGGCAAATTCTGGATGGGTACTGGTGGCGCATGAATGCCTACATTCTATGTACCTAGCCAAACAATCGAGCCTTATCTTCACGATTGATGGGGAAAAGGTGTATGACCATGTCGATTGGTCGATACTTGACGAGACCATGGCTCGTATGGGGTTTGGGGAGCGATAGAGAAAGTGGATGAGAGGTTGCTATTCCATTCTCTTTTCTCAGTGCTAATTAATGGAGCCTTGAAATGCTACTTTCCTTCTTCTAGGGGTCTCCGGTAGGGAGATCGCCTTTCACCCTTCCTATTTGCAATTGCAGTTGACGTTTTTAGCCAGTCTATCTCCTGTATGTACCAGTTGGGCCTTCTCTCTAGCTTCAAAAGCAGCCCTAGGGGCCCAATGGTATATCATCTACAGTACGCTGACAACACCCTCGTCTTCATAGATCCTGCTCTGCAGGAAATTGAGACACTGCCATCTTCCTAAAATGCTTCAAATTTGCCATAGGGTTCAAAGTCGACATGGAGAAATCCAAGATGATCGGAGTAGTACTCACCTCTTTTGAGTTTAGAAGCCTCATCCCTTACTGGGAGTGCAAAGTGGAAGACCTTCCTACGAGTTACCTGGGCATGCTGCTGGACCTAAAAAAACCCACTGTGTGGGTTATTTGGACCAAAAGAAACGCGAGGATCTTCCGAGGATCCAAGTGCGAAGCCCCGGCTTTGTTTCAAACAATCACAGCCCTGGTCATTTTTTGGGCTTCAAACCACAAGGCCTTCAAAGGCATCGAGGCTTGTACGTTCTTACAACATTGGAAAAATATCCTTCACACCCAAATTCCTCTGATCTCTAGATCCTGCGACTGGTGCCCTCCTCCGCCAAGCCTCATTAAACTCACTTTCGACAGGTGTTCCCTTGGTAACTCTAGGCCAGCAAGTGTGGCATGGGTCTTTCGAGACCACCACGGCCATATCCTCACCTCGTTCTCTAGATACATAGGCCACACATACTCCTGGCTAGTTGAATGCATGGCACTCCTCTCTGGCCTCAAGATGTTTGACCCCATGTGGGGCCAAACATTATAACTTGAGACACCCAAAACATTATAACTTGGGCAGCAGGCCTAGTTCCTCCTCCTTGATACCTCGCCTTGATTTATGATGAGATTATGCACTCTAGCAGGTCTATGGACATCTTATGGAGGCATACTTGGAGGGAATCAAATGCCCTAGTGGACCAACTCGCTAAAGATAGAGCGTCCTCAAGCGCCTCAGATCCATGAGAGCTCGTTTTTTGCCCTGCTGGCCTCCTCGCACTCCCTCTTAAGACTTTCGGACCATTTTGTATTTTGGGCTTCTCACGGTTTTATATAAGCTCTATGATGGACAACTATTATAAGCCCTACCCAATTTTTGTATAGGACTACCCTCTATGGGGAAGTTATTTTTTGCCGAGTGGCCCAACCTGTAGGCTCCCTCATTGAAGCTATGTAATATTTACTCCTTTTAAACTACAGTTAACAATTTCAAAAAAAAGAAATGGTCAACATCATGCTTTTGACTTGACCCTTCAACCAATAAGTTTTCTTGCATTCTTTTCTTGTTGGAGAAATCTACTAGGCTATTTCTTACCCAAAAAAAAGAAAGTAAAAAGAAAAAAGTAAAGTCTTGTATACATATCATCACTGAGACTTCTGAATGCTCAAATTTTTAGAACTTTTCTTTAATTTATAACTTTTTATGCATGTTTTGTTATAATGAGACAACTGCATTATTGTAGTCTATTTACTGCTGGTCTTAGGTAACTAAAAGGTGAGTTATTGTGCAAAATCAATTGTAAGAAGGCATGAGCATTGCTCTTGAACACATAAGCAACTGTCAATTAGTTCTCATTCTCATTTTACTTTCCATTTTCAAGTTAGGCTTTCTTTTTTTCTAAATGTGATGTTTCTCAATTTACTGAAAACAGTGCTTGAAAAAGGAATTGCATAAACTCAGTTGGATTTGACCATGAAAAATCGATGGACCTGGTATTTATTTCTGTGCTAGACTTAGATGAAGTTTAGAGCGAATTCATCTTAACATGGAATAGCGTCTATGGACCTGGTTTTGGGTGAATGGATAGACTCTGAATCCCTGCTGGATTTGAGGATACCAGGCCTTTGAAATTTGAATCATGATTTCTAGGTTACTAGAACCTCCCGTAAGGTCACTTGTTGAGTCTTGACTTCGAGTGGATTGGAGTGCATATGCCTTTGAAGTGTTAACTATAGGTTACGTAGAACCTCCTGTTGCAGTTGCTGTTCTGCTTTTGAATCCGAGGATTTCAACTTGGCTTGCAGCTTGAAACTTTGCTTGCCTTCTTTCTTTTAATGGAGGCATTTAGATGCTGGAACTGTTTTTCTCCCAGGTCCTCTTTTGTAAGTATTCTGTAGAACCAAAGTTGGTCCAATAGATAAAACTCTACCCACTCTCCAGTAAATGTACCTGGTTTTTCTTCATGATATATATTGGTTTTTCTTCATGATATATATTTTTTAAAATGTTATTACTGTCGCAAAATTGACCAAATCTATGTTTATGATGTTTCTATTTTTCAGTAAACCATGCCTATTACCATTTATTTGGGATTGTTTGCCTTATCTCTCATGCAGTAGTTTATTTATTTGATATTCAGAAATGTGATGAAAGCTTGACAATGCTTATTTTGCCATTTGATTATCAGTTCTCAATGTTAACAGTCATTATTTCATGAGCTCTTGGTACTGCATTTCTCTTTCTTGCATTAAGATTTAGATTTAAGAAAATGGTAACTATTTTTGGTGTAACATGTTTTCTATCATGATTCAAAATTATGAGAAGAAAATGAAGTGATAAGTGGGCTTGTACTTTACATTTTGCATCTTGATTCATTTGTAGGCGGAAGGATGGGTCAAGAATATGTGTGGATCGGATGCCGATGACTCACTGTTTCCTGATGTTTAAAGTCGGCCAGCCAGGTGCCTTATGAATCATACTTTTAAATTTTACCTCTCTTTCTCCTTGGCTCTCTCAGTTTGTATGACTAGCATGCACACATATTTAAACTCCTCTCTATCTAGAACCATGAGATTAAGCTAAAACTTGATATGTTCAAGCATCACAATCTCTACTATCTCTTCTCTTTTCTTTTTTTAAGAAGAGCTTTACATATATGCCCAACAAAATTGTGGGGTCTGAGGTAAAGAGTGACTTCGGTCATTGTTGGGGTTATGATTCCAATGTGTCCCCTAGAAGGATGACAAAACAGATCCTTGGCTATCCCAAAAGACACCCCTGTCTACCAGGTTTCCGAAAGAACACCCATCGTTTTTAACTTGATTGAGCCTAACTCTGGGGATCCAGTGATATGATCTTCTATGGCGGCTCCGGATGAACCATGTAGTAATAATATCCCAATTCAATGGGAACCCGCTACCAGGGTTTCTGAAAGAACACCCATCGTTTTTAACTTGATTGAGCCTAACTCTGGGGGATCCAGTGATAAGATCTTCTATGGAAGCTCTGGATGAACCATGTAGTAGTAGTATCCCAATTCAGCAGGAACCTCGCAGGAAGATGCTAACTGTCTTCCTCTGGAGATTCTAGCTTTTCTCTCTTTTGAAACCCTAAAGAACCCACCTGTCCCACTCCTTGTCCTCCACAGGGTCCATGTGTGATCAACTGGTTTCATCACGGGTGCTTATCAACACAGATGCAATCCTAAATAAGGATTTGTCGAAGAACTGTTCCGACGAATCAACAGTTTTTGCTTTCTAAAGTAGTTTGTTCCATCATTAGGTTTCACCTTCCCTAAACAAAGGAAATTGCCTCCTCTTTGCATCAGTGTCCGCAATGTTATCCCTGATTCAGGTCTTCCATTCTACCACTTTTCCCATATGCTCTGTAGTCATTCTTTATCATTCCTCTCATGTTTTAAGCTATCAACATTTCAAGATATAATAGTAAATCGAGCTTCTTACAAATTCTAAACCCCACCCGCCCTTGGATTCCATGATCTCTTTCTCCCATTAATTCCTTGAACCCATAAACCTCCAATCACATGAATTCCAACCTTTATGGACTTAGAACATGTTAGTATACTACCTCACAGGGTCGCCCCATTTTAACGAACAGACTTTGTGTATGGTGAAGCACAAGCTGGCAAAGGGCTCTTTAAGAATATAAAGAAAAGTTATACTCCCCCAACCTTGGAAATGTGAAAGTGGCCGAACCTTGTCATGACTGTCTAGACTTGGTTGCTTTATACGCCTTTATTAAGTTCTCACTGCATAGAAAGAAAAGAAAATGAATCAAAGGACAAACAAATCTGAAAACTATAATCTAGTTTCTAATGTTTTTGCCTTCGTATGTGGGGAAAACAATTGAAAATTTTTTGGCGTGTATTATACATCTGAATTCTGTGAACATGGGACATGTGCTTTGTTAGCTTTAAAATAAATCCATGGGTGACATGACATGGCCCTGGAACAATTTCCAAAATTTTAATTCTTCAACCATATAGAGCCAGTGAAGTAATTTATGCTACAAGATCAAATTACTTACTAAATTCTTTCCAAACTACTAAGTCCTTCCCAATTTCTTTTTTGCTATTGTCAACATCCTTACTATTCCATTCATGAAGAAGACGTCTTGATTTCTCATACCACTTCATTGATGTTGGTTGTTAGTACTTTTTTTTACTCTGGAAATATTTCTCCCATCTTCACGCCTTACTTTTCCTGTCTATCATTTCCTTTGGGTTTTGTTTTATTGTAACAGTTCTGGACTAATTGAATATTTCACTCATTCTAGGCTTGGACTGGGTGCTAAGTACATACCCCATTCAAAAGCGGTTGCAATAACTGACCCCCTTGAGAGAAAACTTCATGCCAAACTGGTCTCTGCAAAAGCTCGAAATGAAAGAGACAATGTCGAACAAGACCAGAATTCTAAAGGTGTCAAAGATGATGATGACAATGAGGAAGATTTAGAAAACAGAAACAATGCGATTTGTAAGAAAGGCACAGGAGTTTGGGCTGAGTTTTTGCAGGGAAGGAATTCGAGTGGGAAACAGAGGAAGAGAAGATGAGCAGAAAGTCCAGGCTGCTGGCTAGAACTTCCGATTGGATGTGAAGCTGGCTGAACTTTAGTTGTAAAGTGAGTGAGAGGGAGAGATCATGTATGTCTAATGACCTAGCAAATTTCTAGCCCTTTTCAAATTTTTACTGTTAATTATCAATTTTTAATGTTTGCTTGAATGAATAGTGGAGCAGACCAAGCTGTGCTGTACTTTTCTCCTAAAGGGTACAGAGAATTGTGCATCTCTTCCATTTCACTGTTTATATCACTCCTCTGGATGTACATATTGCAAAGTACATGTTTTAGGTGGGGAGGCAAAGCTTCAAGCAAGATTAGAGAAGGTTCATGGGAAAAGGACAAAACCCCCATCCCTAAAATTATAATCCCAAATTAATCAAATAACTCTTTTGTCTGATAAATATCTCATAGAATCCCTTAAGTTGAAAAAAAAAAAAAAAATGTTGAACTCCCTCCTTACTTTTTCTTTTGTTCAAATTACAGAATTTACCACCCTTTTTTTTTCTCCTTAATCACCCTGCCATCTAAATCTTAGAAAAATTCTCCTTCCTCACTTGTGGACTTCTTTCTCCCTCTCTTTCTAGCAACTTTTCTTGAATATATATAATTTTATTATATTATATATTATATTATATATAAAACATGAGCAGGTTCGTATTAGTGTCAAGAAAGAAATTCATCTTAGCTTTGGAGTTTGGTTAGGATAGAAAATAAAGAGAACTAGGTTAGGTTCCGATTACAAGTGGTTTACCCATGTGTCCATCAATAAATAGATAAAAAGATAAGTTCATTACATGAGTTCATTCATTATTGCATATAAATGGAATTAAGGCTAACAAAATGGTATAAAAGTTGATCTTATGTGCTCAAGGGTGTATGATCTCTTACTACAAACTTTTACTAAGAATTCAAAATTTAAATATTTTCCTTTTAAATTGCATTTTTTTAAATAGATCATCATATATAGCATTTATAAAACACTATTAATAAATATTTTGTTGATGGATCCAGCATAACTTTTTAAAAATGTACTTTAACATCCTCTTGGGAGTAGTGTTCAAGCAATAAATGAACTTATATTGTAAAAGACAATACTTTACTTATCTTTATAAGTATAAAGTATTTTATTTTATTTTATATTTTATTGTTATTATCAAATTGATTCATTATTAAAAATCATTTCTTTTGTATTTGTCACCAACCTATAGTAAAAATGTCACTTTATTGTATGTTCCCTCACTTGCTATATGAGCTCTCAACTAAAAACCACATCTAATTTTTTAAAACAATTTTTAACATTTTTATTTTCAAATACTCATAATATCATACATGCAATAAATTTCTTTTAAATCCATAAATGCTATTATATCTACTTCATGAGGGATCATAAACACAACGTGTTCCTAAGGGAGCAACAGGAAACAATATTTTTAACTCAAGATGTTTGAACCAACATTAAAGGGTGCGGTTTGTATAGAACCTAGGCTTTAAACAATCAAATTAGAGCCTACCCTTAAATAGTGTCGACAAATGTGGTTTCAATATTGGAAATCTTTGTGATAGTCTAAAAATGCATTACAAAATACACTATTTCCAAAACTTAAAATCCATTTTTTTTCTCATGCCCATGCATCTTGATGTCGATGATCAATTTGAAGATACTTGGGAATAAAAATAACCTCTCTTAGCGAAAAGTTTTAGGGTCGGCTATAATTTGATGGTTTAGAGCCTCGGTTCTATATAAACTTTTCCCAACATTAAATACTCGAAGGGAAAAGTTTATATAAGGATGCAACCTTAAAATGTAGAACTACGGATGCACCTCAAAAATCCATTGGTAAAGGTTTTTTTAATGTTGAAAAACCCTGTAATTGAGATGTATGACTATGAAAGAAAAAGGATTTCAGCACTAAAATGGTGCATCTTACCACACATTATCTAGACCGTCTATTTTCAAGATTTTCATATGTTTATAGATCTACTTGATTTTAATCATTTTTGGAGTTTAAAAGTTTATATTAGATTTGAAAATAGATTTTGAGATAATCTTAAGAATATTTTAGATCAAAATTATATGTTAAGATAAAATTTGAAGGTGCGCCTTAAATGGATTGTTTAAAGTTGCAACCTTATGAAAACCACACCCATACTAAAATCCTACATTCCACAAAATAACCAATATGTTTTTACTAAAGATAATATTCTACTTACTATTTTTTAATAGAGTACGTTTCTTAAATACTATAAATTAGTAAAAGGAGCACAATAAAATTTGATTTTTATAAGAAACATCCATTTTTTGAAAATTTAACTCATATGGACACGGTTTCTATGAGTCCACAAACTCACATGTAGATATGCGGGCCCCTTAATAATGTATTTTTGAAATGGAATTTGATCCTAATTTTTAGGAAATATATAATTTTTAATATGGAGATTATTAATCTATAAAAATAAATAAATTTTAAAAACTAGAAATGATATTTTTAGAGAAAATATTTGAATCATTAATTTTACTTTTTATTTGGAGGACTGTTTATAAGACCCCATTTTGGTGGATGGTGCAACAGGTGCGGCCTTGGATGAACCAAACATTTTTCCAATTCATATAAATAATAATTTCTCTTTATGAGCCTAAATTGAAGAAAAAGGGTCAAATTTTCAAAAAGATTAATTTAAACTCAATAAAATTATAATTATATAAAAAAAATAGATTTTGAGGAATTAGTTTAGTTTGTAACTAATTTCATGACTAAAATACTTTCTAATCTTTGCCAAAATGATCAAACACGTAAATAAACATGTTACAAATATATTTCTTATGTTTTTAGTTTTTTTATAGTTTTTTGAAATTTTTTAAGATCCCCAAATTGATACAAATTGGGTATCTGACGGATACAAATTGAGTGGGTGGCACAACATAGTGCTACCATATAAATGTCATATTATACTGGTATAAAATTAATTAAAGTCAAACTTACAATTTAATCTAAAAAAAACACAATAAAGAACTTCCTTTTTTTAAATTTTTAGGCCATATAACACTCATGACCATTTAAACTCCATAATAAAACAATAGATCTAGTTCAAATAAATCCTACATTCATATTAACTTCTTTACGATAAATTTTACATTAAAAAAAGTGGGTAGCACAACATAATGCCACGACAAAAATGATGCATTACACTGTTCGAAGCAGTAGTTTACTTAAAATTAATAGAAAGACTTACCACCAATCTTTGACGGGTATCCAAATGGAGTTGGTGATCCCGTATGCAATACTAAATGACATTTTGTGGATGCATGTACTTTAAGGAATAAAAAGATGTACTCCAAGGAGAATCAATAGGTGAAATTTTTAGTAAAAATCGTATTGAATAGATTAGCTATGCACTGCTGGGTGACTAATTCATTGGTGTAGGATAGCCCCAAGTTATTTTAAAGGATCTAAAACTACCTCCATTGGTTTTCATACATATTAATTTACTCTTTAAGAGTTTTTTTTCACCTAAAAGAACTCTAAATAAGATCATAGAGCTTGGTTGAAGATAAAAAATACATATTTAGAGAGAGAAAAACTGATAGAGTGATATTCCAGTTGTAAAAGATGTATGTAGTTATAGAGAGAGAAAAAGCACATGGTTAGAAACAAAGAACTTAAATAAATAACATGTTCAACATGTTATTACAGATAAAAAACATACGGTTAGAGAATTAACAAATATATTTGGAGTTATATCACATGCGGAGCACGTGCACTCTACTAGTGTATATACTCTTGTGATCCTCGTAAGGTAAAACAGATCACCAACTTGACTTTTATGATGAGGTTATTAGAAAAAAAAAAAAAATTCTATAACTTAGATAATGAAAAAGTAAAAGAGGAAGTTAAACATCCTTTTTTGTTTAACTTGAGGGGTTTTATGGGCTTCTTTTCATATTAGGAGATTATTTGGGATAATAATTTTAGAGAGGGGCTATTCGTCTTTTTCCCAAGTTTCTTCCTCCGTTGGACCCTCGGAGGTGTGTGGATATAGAGAGCTCTAAAATGTGGTTCATATGAGTGAGCGTCCTCTCATAGAAGCAATTATGCAGCAGATTTCCAGTCTATTGTCGATTTTTACAGCATGGGTGCACCATAAATGGACAATTCACAAATCAGATCTAGAAACTTGTTTGGAAGTTAAAACTTCAATAGCAGAGGCTTTGGATACCTCTTTTCTTGATTTTTGATGATAAAGTTGAGTGGTCTCTCTCTCTCAAATTGTATTGAAAACAGTGTAACTCATCTTTTATTTTTGTGTAACCGAGTACAATTATAACATTCCTCCTAAAAATAACCCCTTTGTGATATCTTACACTGCCAACGAATAAGTATCTTCACTCAGCTTATTATATAGGAAATTAATACTCCAAGCAGCACGAAAACCACTCACTTCAACCATATCAGAAACCTTAGCATTAGGTTGCAACACCTTAGCAAAAAGTTCCGGATAAGTAAACTTTAAAGGGGCATCACCTATCCATTTATGGTGCCAAAAGGAAATATTACCATCATAACCAACATTCCAATGAAAGTAACTCGTAATCATCGGTCTGTACCTATAAATGGGCGTCCATAGAGAAGACATCTCGTTAATACTACCCCCTCCTAACCACAATCCTTGCTTATCTCGTCCATATTTCTAGGATCATACCTGAAACCAAAGCTGATCTGTATACTGAAGATTTCTTTACCACCATTTACAAAGCAATGCCTCATTCATATATATTAACTTTTTAAGGCCAAGACCACCTTCCCACTTAAGGCTACAAACACGATTTCACCTAAGTAAATGATACTTCTGTTCTTCTTCAAAGGTCCCCCACAGAAAATTACACGTCAATCTTTCAATTTTCTTTATGACTGAGGCTGGCATATGAATACGAGACATCAAATAGATTGGTAAATTCGCTAAACAAGAGCTTAGCAAAGTATCCCTCTCACCCAAAGACAGGTATTTCGGCTTCCGCAGATCCAACTTCACTTGGACTTTCTCTATCACCTTATATCCCAAACCGCAATAGAATGCTTAGAATATGAGAATGGCATTCCCAAGTAAGAAGGAAAAAGAGCCCACCAAACATCCCAAAAGATTAGCCAAAGCTGGAATCAAAGTCAGATGACAGTTAATACCTATCAAAGAGATCTTATGGAAATTGACCTTCAATCCAACCCACCTTACAGGAATCTAAAA